TCCTTCCCTTGGTGCTGCTGGTGAACACCGTGGGCACGTGGGTAGAGGAGAGAGCTGCCACCTGCTCTGGGCTACCCCAAGCCCGACAGAGAGGCTGCTGCGAGGCCCAGCCCGTGCTGCTGCCCGTGGCCTTGCCATGCCCTTGGCCTGTCGGCTCGCACCTCTCCAAGCATTCCTTTGCATTTGTGCAATGCTGCAGAGAGCCCAGCGGGGTGCTGGTGGAGCACGGGGCAGCCACACGTGTGACACGTGGCCGTGGAAGTATCGGTTCCCTTCGGGTGGGGAAGGGGAAGGCGCTGCCTGCTTTGCTGTTTCAGGTGGCCTGGCTCTTCTCATGCCACCCTCCTGCTTGGCTTTCACAGGCTGCACAGGTGGGCATCCTTACCAGCCTGCAGAAAGGGGAGGGATCTGCCACGGCCGTTAGCACGTGGCTTCTTTCTGTCTCTTCTGGCAGAGATGTGTTAGTGCTCTAGCATGTRAGATGCCATGAGCTGTACGGTGCTCACCTGCTGCCAGAGCAGTGATGGGKGCAGCTGGGGGAGCTGCACTGTGCGTGGGACAACAACTGCCTTGCAGTATGTGGAGAGCTGCATTTATTGGGGCTTGTCCCACTTTTCCAGTGCCTCTATGAAAGGGTAAATCAGTGTTTGGTTGTCTGAAGTTATTCAAGGTGGCTCTCATGCAGACGCTGAACTTGTTTTCAAGCTGAGCTGAACTCTCACCCTTTCAAAGGCTCAACTGTTGTGGTTGAGCTGGCTCTTTCTCTAGAACACATCAATGCGAGGAGAGGAAATACTTTTTGCTGGAGGCAGGWTTTCTGTTTGACCTCAAAAGCACAGAAGTAACCGGGCTTGCTGAAAAAATGACTTGTCAACAAATCTGAACTGAAATTCTGATAAATCTGCTTTATCATAGGGTTCCTGTAGTCAAGACCACTGTAATTTTAACATTTCTGAATGTATTTTATAATTTAGTAAAATAAAATAAAGTGGAGGGGAGGAGGACTCTCTTAAAGCATCATCTACAAAGATCACCAAGTGTATATCCYTTCCAAACTGTCACTTTGCAGGAAAATGTGACACAGAACAAGGTATTTTAGTTGAATATGTGGAAATATGTGAAAGAGATGAGTGTTGCAAGGGGAAGCCTCAGACTTTGTTTCTCCATCCTGAAGTTTTTCTTGATATTTGATTTGTCAAATGAATTGACTGAATGTTCTTAGATCAACATTGGTTATTAGTGCATTTAAGGCTTTTTGTACAAAAAGGCTTTTTTTGTACAAAAAAAGCCAAGCACCCTTGTATTTATATGATTCCTTAACCAACGACTTAACGTGACCAAGTTTACCAAGTTGCACTGCTTCCCCCTGCTGGAAACAGCCCTCTTCTTCCTCATGTCCTGGAGCACTTTCTTGCTAGCAGAAGCTTGCGGATTTACTGGTGAGTCTGGGGGATTCAAGCATGCTCAGGTAAAGCTCCTCTTTATCTTACCCATTTTAAACTTGCTCTTAAAATCATTCCTATGAGAAACATGACGTAAGTGCCGTAGGCTTTTTTGTGTTTAGTACAATGCCATCTAAAGCAGAGCTCACTGTATAATGTGGGTATTTAAGGACATCACTGCTTCATTTCAACCCTCCCCCAAAACCTGAAATATATGTGACTCGTTTAAAAACGAGGTTCATAAAATGTCAAGATTAAGGATGTTGTATAAAATGAAGAGCAGTTTGTGAGAATAGAGGTAGGTATTAAGCAGACATGATAAARGCACTAATTTTTTATGTGTGATTCTGGTCGCAGGTGTAGTAGCTGTCCTCTTCTGTGGAATCACCCAGGCCCACTATACATACAATAACTTGTCAGTTGAATCAAGAAGTCGTACTAAACAGGTAAGACATTGCCCCTTAYATTTTCTGTAGCCTACTGACACAGTAGTCCGTGTATTATTGGTTATTTTTAAGCATTTTTATTGCTTGGCCATTAATGTGAAACTGTTTTCTTCCTAGCTCTTTGAGGTACTGCACTTCCTGGCTGAGAACTTCATATTTTCATATATGGGTCTGGCGCTGTTCACTTTCCAGAAACACATATTCAGCCCCGTTTTCATTGTGGGAGCTTTTGTATCCTTTCTCACTTTGTGTGAGGTTTCCTTACTATTGTACGTGCCTTTAAAATGTCTACTGACCCTGCAGTTTAAAGCATGGTGATTAATTTGTGTGTGATACAGTACAGGCACAAGAATGGGTTTTTGTTACGCTTTTCATCAAGGTTGTAAGGCTTCTATGCCMTAAGCAGGCCATGCAACCGAGCGTGTGCTAAAAGGCACCTAAGCTCAGCTTATATGTAAATGTACGTGCTCTGCTCCTTGCAGTCACAGCAGTGCAACTTCAGGCGTTGGATTTTAAAATTCCCTTCCTGGCTGGGAAACCTGAGTGTTGGCAGGATGGAAAGGCATCATCCTGTGTTGCTCTTCTATCAACATGAGCAGTTTAACTGCGYTGCCTTCCTGAAGAGGTGAAGTGCCTGCTACTCAGATGTGGTGAAGGACTAGCCTAAAGGCAGAAGCCCAGACAGCTGCCAAGGGAATTCTTCAGGAAGAGCAGTGGCTCACCAGGCAGTGTGAAATGGACTCTTAGCTGAAAAAAAATCTTTTTTAATCTTCATATTTTCTTCTAGAATGCTCTAGAGGGATTTACAAATGGCCATCAGGACTCTGTTGTTGTTTCTTGTTTGTGTTATTTTTCACTGTTCCCCTCCCATCCCACATACACACCTTGCTCACCTGCAAAAATTACATCAGATCAATCTGAGGGGAGGGGAAGAGAATGGGGGAAGAGAGGAGGATGAGGGAGGGACTTCCCCACATCACCTTAAGGAGGAYATAGGTGTCCAGATTTGGTTGCCTCTCAGAGAACCCAAAACAAGGCCTAATTGCTGTATTCGTGGGAAAGAACTCGGGAAATCTTGTTCTTCAGACCAAGGAAGTGTGTTACATTATAGAGWTTAAGCAGATGTGGTGATAGGGGTATGAGTTGAAATTGGAGTACTCTTTTCTGGACTCCTRTGTTACCTAACTGAGGAACCTTCATTGCTGTAGCCTGTTTTCTTGCTCCTCCATTTTATATAATGTGCTTGAATTTGGCAAGTTCTGTGAAAACAAAACAGTGCCTTTAAGGAGCATTTACGTATTCTGTGTGTAGGGTATATAGGCTCACTGACCTTAAAATATTTATTAAAGCAAAGTCTTTTTGATTGATGTTAAAAATTCCCTAAAACAAAATCATAATTGTTTGTCCCTCCTCTTCCTCTTTCCCACAATCTTTGCTCTGAAGATGATTTTCCTCCTATCTCTTCCTCCCTGCCTCTGTTACACTTTCCTTTTTCTCCCACTGTGCTTAATGTGCTCTGCACCTCTTGAGTGTTTCCCTTGCTTTGGGACGAAAGCAGCTGGTAGTAGCACCCATGTTTTGCTGCAAGCCACTGAAGTGACACCAAGAGCCGTCGCCAACTGTTGCAAAGAAAAAGGTTTGACTCCTCTGTAAAAATAGTAACAAGCAAAATCCTGGTTTTCTGGAAATATAATTCCCTGCAAAATGGATTGTTACTTCAGTATTTAGCTGGGGCAGCAACCCCAAAGTATCTAGCGTTCTTCTGTGATTTTGTTTCTCTTCTGCACGAGAGCTATTTCATCTTCTAATGCTGTTATTCCACTAGCAAGTAGTGTTTGAGGTTTTTTCCTGATTGTATTGATGTCTTATAGATTTCACCACATCCCTGCACTTTGTTGCATCGTGCTCCTGACTTGGTAGAGGAAATGCTCAGCTTTCCAGGCACTCACTGGAGTCCCTGGATGCTTTATATCCCACTAAGGAGGTGKGAAAGGCTCAGCACTTGCTTTCCTTTCCTGGAATACTTTCTGGCTACTCTTTGGGAACCTAACTGTAGTGTTGACAAGTACATGAACACTTGATATTGCTGTGCAATCTTCTCATTAAAACATGAGTTTTTGTATTAAAGCCACTTATCAAGAACTGTGTACTTCCAGAAAATGAGATCCTTAACCCTCAGCTGTGAACAGGTTGCAATCTTTCTGGGCAGAGCTGCACACATCTACCCTCTCTCCTTCTTACTGAATCTGGGCAGAAGGCATAAGATCAGCTGGAGTTTTCAGCACATGATGATGTTTTCAGGTAAGAACAAAAATATTTGCTAAAATAAAAATCCTTCTTTAACTCATGAGAAATTAATAGAAATACCACCTTTTTTTTTTTTTTTTTTGTACTTCAATCCTCTGTTTCTTTACTAGAGGACTTGTCAGTCTTTGCAGAAAGTGTCATGTTTGAGAGGAGCTGAAATCTTGAAATGCCAGGTTCTGGCAGCCAGCAGTCACCTCATGCTGTGAACAGAATATATTCATTTGAAATGCTGAGCATCTCAAAGGGATGGGGGAGTTGGGATGCATCTCTTCCAGAAAGTTTATTTCTAGGTGAAATGATACGTGTTGTGTAGAAACAGATGTCTGCCAAGATATTCTAGACATGTTTGAGTGTCTTCCCCTACTGAGTTGGAGAAAACAAGGTATTTGACTAAGAATTTATTTACTATTTCTGTCACACTGATAACTCTTGAACTTTCTATCATTTCAAGTAAATCATGGAGTGCGTATCTATGTGCATGTGCATTTTCTTCCCCTACTACAGAAGGACATAAATGCCCTTGCTGCTAGGGTTTAATAGTGCAGGGGAGTATATTCTGCCTATGGATGTGGTATTACCAAGAAAACTTTTGCATCTGAGAGCTTGTTCGTGTCAAGAATTCACACTTGAGTTGCAGAGGCAAATGGAAATGTTGCATTTTCCATTTAAGTTCAGGGAGCTTTTGATTTCCGAAATACATTTTGCTGTAGTCTGAAACTCAGTGTCTGATTTAGTTCCTGGCTTTTTGTAGCACTTGCAAATTCTGAAAGTTACACTAAAAGCATCAGGGCAGAATGGAAATTTAGAGACCTTGTTTTTATATCTGAGATGTTCCGGGTGGTAGATGCCTGCTCCCATGGGCTGTGGGAGAACAGTCTGGAAGCAGCAGGTAACTGAGCTTCTGTGAAACAACTTGAGCCTGGTGCTTTCCACCATCACTTTGCGTCCGCCTGGCCAGGGAGGGAGCTAGGAGAGATGCTGTGCTACGGCGAGGTGCTTCTGAAGCTCTCCTCTTTCCTTCTCTTGCGCAGGTCTCCGCGGAGCCATGGCATTTGCCCTGGCCATCCGCGATACTGCTACTTACTCRCATCAGATGATGTTCTCGACGACTCTCCTTATCGTCTTCTTCACCGTGTGGATTGTGGGCGGAGGCACAACCCCCATGCTCTCCTGGCTCAACATCAGGTCAGCGCRCGGCGGCGTGCCGAGCAAACTCACTTTTCCAGCGGCAGCAGCACCACTCCTGCAGCACTTGTTTGGTGCTTGCTTAGACGCGTTCCAGGTGTGCCGAACACTGCTGTGAACAGGAAGGAGGAAGTGCAAGGTGGGGCAGGAGTTGCGCCGGGTACCACTRGGATTCAGCCTAAAGCCCTCTGGTGCCACATGAGTAGGGGTCTAGGTCTTTGTCAGCACAGCAGGATAGAGAATAGCGTTGCCTCATGCAACAGTCTCTATGTTGAAAGGATAGAATTAGCCTATCCAGCCTCATATCCAGTTTCTTTTCCTGTTCTATTAAGACATTTCCCTGTTTTACAGCTCCTGGTAGTTCTCTATGTATAATATTTCTGCTTCATTTTCCAGGTTAACGGGAGTCTTTAATGTGTGGGACTAAACTGGATGTCCTTTAAACAAGCATCCAAATAAATCTGACATCTAGGCAACTGGGATAATTGGGGCCCTGGTCTTGGGACCTAGGGGAATGTTAAGCAGCATCATTACAACTGTTTCCTGTGTAAATTCTGGCTAATACCTGGATATTTTAGGGCTGTAAGTGTATGCATGGTTGAGGCTACTTACCTGCCAATTGCTGGAGAATTCTGAATCAGTTTGTTGTTAARGAGCACATATGTTTCCATTCTGCAGTGGTTTTAGCAGTTGAATGACAGGGAGACAGGGTAAATGGTGGAATTAAAACAAGGCACRCTGTACCAAACCCTCCAGTGTATTTGACATGTGTAAATTATGTATATCCTGAGGCACATGAAAGCCTATGTACTTTGTATTACATTCTGGTTGTATTCAGCAGAATTTGTCTCCTACTGTCTCATGGCAGGATAGGGAAAAAAATCTTAAATCATATAATCAGTCTCAGTTTTAAGAAGAGTTAACAATTCATCATGATTATTGGTGCTTTCAGAAAACTAAGTGAATTACTTGGCAGTAGGTGACAGGTGCTTTCCAGGTTGAAAATAGGATAGATGGAATTCCCAGGAATGTTTGGGAACCCTTCTTGCTGCAGTCAGGCTGTACCTGATCTGACAAGGTCAGCAGCAAGTCTTGGAGCTATGTGTTGGGATGAGCTTTCTGAAAACTACAAAGTGTCACTGTGACTGACTGACTGACACCTTGTCAAAGGAAATGCACTTAGGGAGAGCTGAGCTGCCCTGTGCCAAGCAGACGGCATCCGCTGCATCCTTTGGCACCTGCCTACAGCCCAAACCAGGCACCGCTACAGCAGGGATGACAACAGATTGACTCAGTATCCCAGCAAATCCTGGGTGTGCTCTTGGAGAATCCTGACTGTATTTGATGGAATCTGTGTGTCTGTGTTTCTGCCCTTAAATGCAATCTGCAGGTGTTTGGCCGGTACATCAGGCAGAGGCACTGTTTGCATTTAGTCCCCATCTCRTATTGCTGACGAGGTTGTACAACCACCCAGTGTCGAAGTTGGCACCAAAACAGCTCCAGTGCTGCTGGGTCATTAAGGATCATGAGATACCTTGTGATAACAATAAACCCAACCCGACCAGCTTCTGTGCCCTGTGAAAACTCTGAACTGGATGTGACCCTGTGCCACGTGCCCCAGGTGTCCCTACTTGAGCAGGGGGATGGACTAGATGGTCTCTAGAGGTCCCTTCCAACCTCAACCATTCTGTGATTCTGTGTGGCTTTAGGAAGATATCTGGAATAGGCACCATGTTACCTCTCCATTTACCACTCCCAACAGAGTGGATTTCTGGCCAGTATGAAAGGGGAGCTGCTCTATTGCACCTCAGCAAGCAGGGCAGGCCCAGGTACCGCGCAGGTGCACGGGCCGCGTGCGGTGTGGGGTGCGAGGGAGCAGGCGCTGCGGTTTGGCAAGCAGGCTGCAGGCAGGAACACCCCTGGAAATCTCATCGCAAAAGTGATGGAGTGTGTGCCAAGCTCTGCCTGCAGCCTCTGCGATAGCTGCCGTGGGACTATCGTTGTCTCTCTTTGAATGCAGTGCGTTTCAAAGCATCTTCTGAAGCTTCCTGCCATCAGGTCAATGAAGCAGACTCCAAGAGACTTCATCRCAGATGCTGCTATCGTGGGCTTTCTGCCCTTGTTCCTGTACCCTTTTGGTTGAGGGAGCAACCCTCTTGCCCAGCTTGTCATCAGGCAAATGGTTCYGTTAAGCAAGGACAAGTTCAGTGTGCCTCACGTGCCAGAATGGAGCTCCTGAGAGCAGTCAGCCACCACCTCTGCCCCCGGTTCCTCCCTCAGCTGGCAGCAGAGCGGCRGGGCCGACTGCCGCAACATGGCCCAGGGTCTGGCCACGGGGCAGCTTGTTTTGAGATGACCAGAAACGTTGCCCGTGTTGCAGGCCTGCAGAAACCTCCTGTGGATTGAGAAGGGGCCGTGCCTCCGTGGCGGCAGGGAGGGCTTTTGTTGTGGCCTGGCTCAGGAAACACATCCCAAAGGCRGCTAAGAAGGAGCCATTGCTCCTGCAAGCAGTGTGGCTCCGTAACAAGGCTTTTGAGTGTGGCACTGGTGTTGTCCCTCCCTGCCTTCAGAGTGACCCGTGTTCATGCCAGGCTTGCCCTTTCGGTAAGTTCCACTTGCAGGAATCGATTTGCACAAGGAGGGAGAACGGTTGGGAACACAGAGCAGTGCTGTGCTCCCAGTCCTGGAGGAGCTGCCAGAAGGCTGCTGCCTGAAATGTGATTTATTGTTTATTTACTTTTGAGACGTACCTGCCCTTGTTTGTAGGTGATCGATTGTAGGTAATTACCTTGTGGTAATTTTAACTTCCATCGATGTGTCGTGGTTAACAGAAAAGCAGCAGTTGGCTTGCACTTTAAGGGAAGGACATCTTGCAAACAAGGGAATTCCACGGGGAAAGTGCTCCAGGGACCTTGGTGGCTGTGTCTCCAGCTGCCCCAATGGGCCCTGCTCCGTGGGTTGTGGAAGCTGCGCCTTTTCCTGAGGCCAACGGGCAGTGAGACTGGCGCCAGGAGGTGGCAGCCACGCGCTAGGAAAAAGAGTTGGAAACACAGGGCTGGCCCCCACGGTGGCAGCCCCTGTTCTTCAACCTGCCTGCGGGGAAGCAACACCTGTGTGAGCTTAGGCTTAACTAAAACCGAGCCGCGTGCTGTCCCCTCCGTGCCCTCCGGCCAGCGCGAGAGCCAGAGGGAGCTGGAGTCCCAGGGCCTCGCTCCGCAGCGCAGAGCTCGGTGCTGGCCTGGTCCTGGTGTCCCGGCACGTCCGGAGGCGCCGTGACGGAGCCTCTGGCACCTCCACGGAGCCCCTGGCACCTCCACGTCGCTGCGCCTGGCTGCTCGGCAGAAAAGAGACTGGAACATAAAAACCTGCTTGGCTTTCTAGGTTAAGTAAATGAAGGGCGGTAAGAAACCARTGCTGCTGCTGTGTTGGACTTGAGTGTTGGGAGTCACGCGGGGCTCTGCGGCCGCCCGAAGCTCTGTGGCCCCTCTGCTGGGGGCTGCCCCTCTGCCGGGGGCTGCTGGGGGCTGCCCCTCTGTTGGGGGCTGCCCCTCTGCCGGGGGCTGCTGGGGGCTGCCCCTCTGCMGGGGGCTGCCCCTCTGCCGGGGGCTGCTGGGGGCTGCCCCTCTGTTGGGGGCTGCCCCTCTGCCGGGGGCTGCTGGGGGCTGCCCCTCTGCTGGGGGCGGCTGGGCGTCCTGCGCGCTGCCACCGCGCCGAGCTCCTTCCCGGCACCTGCTGACCACTTTCGTTCCAGGTATTGTGCAAGCCCAAAACTTGTGGGCATCTATTCCCTCCAGCCGTGTGAGATGTAATCACAAACAGAAAAGGAGCGCAGGGAAGGAGAAGCTAACATGAAAGTTAAGCTTTTCCAAAGTGAAAAAACAGGGTATGGGAAAAGACAGGTAAAAATGCGCAGTTCCTCGCTCTAGCTCAGGTCTGCCTTTTCTCAGACACTCGGGAGCAGGCCGCATTCCCAAACGGGTTTGGGATCTGTTGTGTTCCCAAATCAAGTCTTTGGCCAGTAGAGGTACCCAGGCAGAGGGCCCACTGGGAGCAGAGACCTGAGCTCATTGTGGAAGTGGATGSGGAGGTGAGATCACAGCAGCGAAATCCAAGGGCAAAGGATGGAATCTTTGCCTGTTTCAGATTAAAGCACTTGATATCAAGCACCCAAAAACTTGACACCAAAGCTAGTGCTAAACCCCTGATGTTTTTTGTTTGATTTATTTTTGTTTGTTTTCTTGGCTATCAGTGAGACATATTCAAGTACCTGAGCGGTAAACAGTTCTGTTTTTCTACCACTAAATTTGTTTTTTTCTTAGAAAATAAAGCCTGGCTTGGACACTAAAAGTGAAAGTTGAAAACTGCAGTCCCCTTTTTTTTTGTTGTTTTGTTTTCTTGTGACTAAAGCTGAGAAACAGTTTCCTGCTTGAAGTTTTAACGGTTTCAGCACCTACAGAGCCCCTAAATCAAAAGCATTGGCCAGGCTCCTCTTTTCTGATGAGTAACTTATTCATGTGTTTACTTACTCCATTCTATCCCTGGAAAGAAGGGAACGCCCCACGTTTGTACTGCAGAATGAGGGTCACTCGTTTTTCATTTGGGATGGTTGACCCTCTTGGCACGGGTTCCTTTCCCGCTGAATGAAGCCAGCCAGGCATTCAAGCCTCCCTCTCGTGCCTGAGCTGCTTCAAATGAGGAGGGTTGTCGTTATTATCATGAAGTAGTTTCAGTCACACTTAGCAGCCTTTTCCTAAGTCTTATGCACGAGCACATGCATACATTGTATATAGACATATCTTTCTATTTAAGGTATTTTTACGTGTCTTTCTTTTCCAGGAAAAGTTGAAGGCTGCGTGTTTCACTTCTATTTTTTTTTTCTTTTTTATTACAGAAATGGACACATGGCAGCCCTCCCAGGGGAAGTCAATTTATGTAGCTTTAGCACCACCGCCAGTGGCTGCCACCAGCCCCGAGGCTGCGCTCCAGCCTTCAGCTGCTGGGTGAAGGGCGTTTGTTCAGCACCCTGCTTCAGGGCACTGCCATGCCCAGAGGCCAGTGCCCATACTGGGCCCTGGTTAGGGCCTTCCAGGGGGAAGGTATTTGATGAGAGGCTGCCCCTTTCCGCTTTGCAGCCTGTTGTTTCCAGCCCTCTGCCAGGCAGGGCAGGTAGATCCCTTAGGTACCCGCTCTCCTGGCACTTTGTGCTGCAGGGCAGGCGCTCGAGGCGGTCGCAGTCGTTGTCCCTTCTCCTCAGCCATCCCTCTCTATGCACTGCATGTCCCAGTCATCCAGTCCTGCCCAGTTTTTGCCGTCCTCCTGCTCCCCATCTCCAGTTTTTCTTYACCAGCCATGAGTCTCTGTTCTGGAGGCTCAGTGTTGCTTTACTGCCCTGACCTTTTCAGGTTGTGCTTCTTTTTCCCCTGGCTGGGCAAGGGACTGTTTCCCGCTCTGCAGCGTTTGGAAGCGAGCACAGGAGGTGCTTCCTTGTCCCTGCTCTTGCTCTCTGCCCCATGGCAATTCCCTGTGGGGGGAGAGCGTGTGTGGGGCAGGTCCCGTCCAGCCCCCGTAGGAGTTGGAGTGAGATGGGTCTGGAGCAACAGGGAGATAAGGGTGTAACTGGCAGGATCTGACAAGCCTCTGCAGGCACCTTTGGGAGCCCTTATCTTGGGCTTGCTTATATCAATTAAAGGCACCTAAAACCATCCTTAAGTAACTTTTCTTAATTCTAGAGGCTTTTTCAGTGATTGAGGTCTTGGGGTTTGTTTGGTTTTTGCTTTTTAACAGAGGRCTAGGAATTTTCTTCTTTCACAGCCACCTTTCAAAAAACACTTGAACTCTTCTAAAACAGCTGAAACTTGCCAGAAATGCAGCTCTCAATACAGACATCTGGGAAGCGTCACTRTATTAGCTTGGCACAGGTAGAGCATTAAGGAAGCAGCCTTAGAAGGAAGTTATTAAGCAGCTTTTAATTTTTAGCTTTTGCCAGACATGCAGGGCTGGCCTTACCTGAAGCAGAGTGCTCAGACTTGTAACATGCCATGGGAAAGAGCTGGTGAACCAAGATGTGAAAACAAATCCGTGCAAAGTCTGGAATATCTTGGTGCATGCTCTCAGTCCTGCAAGCTTATGGCTTAATTATTTGGCTATTCAAGATGTGAGTCTGCAATGAGGATGCAAACCCCTGCCCTTTGAAAAGCAAGGCCTCTGAGGATTTCTTAGAGTGGCCACCAAGTGATTAATTACTCCCAATAATCTATACCTTGATATTAGCCTAAGCCGTTAACCGCTGCCTTGATATTAGCATAGGCAGTATATAATTAATGTCATATGCGTTTGTGAAAAAGTGTGTGTGGGGGGGAACAATTTGCAAAGAATTTGCATTGCAAGTATTAGAAACCAGATGTGCCTTCACTTGTGGTTTCCTTTGAGTCCCATGGAAAAGGTGAAGCAAGGAGTGAAAACAGTGTCTGCCATGACTGAAGATTAATTAAGTTGAAAATTGTTAGTCAGCGGCTACATAAATGACTGAGTTTATGTATGGACTTACCAGTTGTGTGTGACTGCTCCTTCCAACACGGAGGGCTGTGTTGATGCCTTCTCTTGTGCATGCAGAGTTTCTTATGACTTCAGTTGCTTTCTTTCTGTTTTAGAACATGTGCAAGTCCCAAGGGSGAGAAATTGTGTCTTAGATTGTCTCTGTCTCCATGTAGTAGCTCTCTGAAAAACTGCTAAATTTAATTTTGTGGAGAGGAGGGATAGTGAGTATCATATTTAGGGTCCATATTTAGGATGCTAAATGCGGGTGTTCTGCCAGCTGCGTAAATGAAGAATATCACCAGAGGTGTCAAACAAGTCAACTTCTATGGTTTTCTTTGTCACTTTTTCATTATTCTGCCATTCTAATTCTTGTCTGTTTTGTGTTTTCTCAGTTGGGCGGGGGTTGGGGTTTTTTTTTTGCTTTTGTTTTTGTTGGTAGGCCGCTCTGTAGAGCCACCACCTCACGAGCATTTCCCTGTTTGCATTCCATTGCCGTGCGGCACCAGGGTCGGGGACCGCGTTGCATCCGTGGAGGAGATGAGTGAGAGCCGCTGGCTGTATTTCAGGTGACACCACGCTGCCCTTGCTCCACATTAACCTGGTGCTTGGCTTTCTCCATCTCTGTAACTCTGAGCGTGTGCTCTCCTCTCGGCGCTCCGGCATGCTGCTCCAGCTTCTCTGGCTTCCAGGGATATTCCACGAGTTGGAGTCTGCCTTGTAAACTGGGAGGCAGCGGATCACACACGGAGTCTTCAGCTTTAGAGAAGACCTTTAAGTTGGGGTCTGGGTGATTAGTACATTGAGACCCTTGTCKTTGGTCTGAGAGGACATGGAAGATGCGAAAGCAGGGATGTGATCCTCTGATCCCAGATTACATAGATGTATTTCTTGGGATTCCTTGGGATTACTTCCTCTAATCATTCAGGTTGGACTTCCAGGGGTGATCTTGGCTTTTTGGGCTGTGTTTAAAAAGCAAGAGTTGTCAGATTGCTCCGYAGGACATGCTAGTAAGAGTGGGGATGACTGAGATTCCTCGTCTCCTCTAGGGAATGGGCTAGAACTCATGGACAAAATCTGCAGCTGGCAGCCCTAGGTGGTGGGTGTGCATGTGCACGTGTAACTTCTAGGGCTGGGCCCTGGTAAATTCTTCATGTGTCCTGTCACACTTCAGCACTCCCAGGCAGCCGTTTCAATTGCCAGGGATGCAGAAGGTGGCATCAAAGCAGCTTTTTCTACAAGTTCGAGAAATATGACCCTCCCACAGTCATTCTTGGCTGCTCTCGCAATGATTACGTATCCTGGAATGCAGCCCTGCCTGGCGTTTTGGTAACTTCTCCTGCACATATTGCAGGGCCTTGGGAAGCGGTTTGGGCTGTCATCAGAAATGGTTCCATTTCCAATGGTTCCAAGAGCTTTCCTTGTGCTTTCAGTGAGGGAAGGAATTAAAGTAGGGTGAAGGAGCATAATGTTTTCTGTGCATCCCTTCCCTGCAGAGGAAGGCAAGGAGATGCTCCTGTATTGCACAGAAGAGAGTCTTGTATTGAAACTCTTCATCGTAACAAAACMAAAAAGCTTTCCTCATTCAAATGAAACTTCCTTAGAAACTGGAAGGGTGGGAGCCTGCTGAACAAAATGCTTTTCAGGTGACCTATGTGTATACATAGTGTTACATACGAGAAGACAGACTTGCTAGGAAGAAAAATTCTTTCTGTGCAAGCAAACCTAAAGAATAACAGATACCAGCAGTAATCCTGGGAAYTCAATAGTACTGGTGTGTGTGTGGGTGTGTATGTGTGTGTGTGTGTGTTAATCTATGAACTGGCATACAGATTGAAACATGAGCTTTAAAAAATGAAAAGGAGGAGGGAGATTTCATTAGAAATAATCAAAATTTCAGCTGAGTTCCCCTGAAGAATAACTTTGAAAAACATGAAAACACTCTGTGTCCATGTACTTATTTAAATATTGAAAGGATCTTCTCCAGTGAAAGAAGAGTYGGGCTGAAAGCTGGAACACCCGATGTCCAAAGGCTCCTCTTGCCCCTGGAGGACGTGAGTGCAGCCAGACACCTGCCCTGTGTCGCACCCCGATTTCTCGCCGAGCCGTGTGCTCAGTCCCCCTTGCTCCCCATGGAAGCCCTGACCTCCTCCTGCTCCAAAAGCAGTTATGATCTTAAGATCCAATGCACCACTGGAAGTCAGGAAAAAGCAGAGAAAATCTGAATTAGTTACTTCTTTTTTACTTGTTAGAATAGAGTGAAGTAAGTGTGTAGCTCAGTGCGTTAAAATGCAGCACCCACCATGTCCATCCAGAGTGCCCTTCGCCTGCAGAGCTTTTTACTCTTGAAACTGCTCTGTGCCAATGGATTCCCAGGCCAGTGGGCGGAAGAGTTAAGATGCTGCCCTGTGGGGGAGTTTCCCTAGGACAGGGGAACAGAAGGGATGAGGAGAGAAAGAGGCTTGGCCTGGAGCAGGGGAAGCAGAGGACTGTGCAGCTCTTGCTCAGTGCAACATTGCTGCATTGCTGCTCCTGGATTAGTCCACAAGGATAACTTAAACCTAGTTCAATGCCCAGATTTCTTTCTTCCTGCTAGAAGGAGCTGCCTGTAAGTTATTGGTTCCTCTCATTTTCATCAATATAGTCTTCTGTGTCTGAATGTAAATCATGTGTGGATTGCAGCTTGGCTTGTGCAAGCTTGTGTCCCYTGATTGCCAGGTGATAGGGGCTTGCCTGCAATGTGCTGTTTTCTGTAACTCTGTCGCAGAAAGGACATTGCAGAAACAGTATAGCTAGAAATAGCCAGCACAAAACCCCAGTAATGAAGAAATCACTCTAAACCACTTCAATCCCTTAAAAGAGAGAGAAAATGAACAAGCAACTGTTTCAAACAACCTGTTCTCATCATTCGATGCATTTTCATACTGTCGTTATGCAACATGGTAGGACTGAAACACAACACGTGCCAGTGGAAATACTTAGTATGGAGAGGCTGAAGGGCTCAGCTCCACAGGAGAGTGCAGAGACTGAGACAATTGAGAAAGGACTAAGTAAGGTCTGCTTTTTTAATTGGAAGAACCTGAAAATAATGGCAAGGATCACGTTTAAGTGTTTTAGACAGAAACACTACCTGAAATAACGGTATAGTAATAAGAGGACCACTAACTATGCAAAAACAGAGACCCTGCAGCTATTCTGCAGTCTCTCACCATCTTGTTACACACCATGTGGTCACCCTCAAGGTGGCAGTGGGCTGGACACACCACTTGTGAATGTGCTCTCTGACCACTTGAGAAATCCCCTTTGGTATTAGATGAATGAAATTGCAACAAATTAATATCATTAATATTTCTGAAGTATTACTGCCACTTCACCCTGTCAGTGCCTTTAGAAATTATGAGGGGTGTGTGTGTGTGTGTGTGTGTGTGTGTGTGTGTGTATATGTAGCATATTTGAGCGATTTTCAGGCCTATCTAGCAGCAGTTTGATGTGCCATGTCAAATCTTTAGGCTGGACTTAGCCTTAGTCTCTGATTTCCTGCTACTGAACATGAGGGATATTCTCCACTGAAGAGGATGTCAACCCACAGTTCACCTCTTTAAGCCAAAAAATAGCATTTGCCAGTGCCCTAAAGGAATTGGCACTAAGGTAAGCAGTTCAAGTTGGTGCTGAACTGGAGTTATAAGACCTCTGTTACCTATAGGTGGTTGCTGCTTGAGTGAAAAACATCTTTCTTACGGCTTTGTAACCCCAGAGGGTGCACTGAACAGCTCTTTCTGAAACTATTCTTATAACTTCTCTGAATGCAGCTTTGCTGGGTGATTAAGGTGCTTTTAAAACGCGTTTGGCTGAACTTAACATTCGCAACCCTCAGTAACACCTCTTGCTTTGTTTTCCTAATGTTTCTGTAGAGTTGGAGTTGACCCAGATCAGGATCCTCCACCTACTAATGACAGCTTTCAAGTCTTACAAGGAGTAAGTAACTGCATAACTTSTTTATTAGGCTGTTCCTATGTTACAACTAAGATGAAAAAGCTACAGAAGTCACATGCATGGATGAAAACTTTCTCCCCCAGCTGGAGAGTAGTGGGGTTTACATTGTGAGAAGTAATGCCCACCAAAACCACTCTGTGCTGCTGAGTGTCGTGGTGCCGTTTGTCTCTTCCCAACCTTGCATTCCGATTGGGGTGTGTGTATATCCTAACCAAAAATGTGCTCTGAAAGTCTTCTCAGATCTAATTCCCTCCACCTAACACCGTGCTCCCCTCCGTGCCCGGCCTCCACGCGCTGCTTTTGCTGCTCTGCAGCATGAGGAGATGTACCCGAGGCTGGCACACGGAGATGATGCTCTAGGCTTCTGCTCAGCAGCTGAGGCTGAATTCTGCCCTTTGCACTTGCTGAGAACCAGCGATTAATATCACTAATCTGTTATCAGCTTCTGTGGACTGGATCACAATCCGAGTGGATTTTGTGTTTGCCACCTGCCACCTTTATATCTTCACCATCATTGTAGCTTCAGCGTGGTATAGCTATGAATCTTTCAGCTTTCTAGGCATCAGGAGCAATCCAAGAGTTGCCTTTTTTTCTTCCATTGTGCTGAGTGCCATGTGTCCTTAATTCCGGGTCCATTACACTAATCAATGCTCCATTCAGAAAAAAATCCTCTTTACTTGATTTTGTCATTGTTAAACCAAATCCCCAGTCAATCTCGGAATTAAATTCAACTCCCAAGAGAAACAAACAAACAAACCCCTCTATTTTGTCTGGCTTTATCTCATAGTTGATGAGAGGAAAGGGAATAGTGTCTTTTGTGAGCTATGTTGCTGATTCAGTGTCCTGGCTGCTGTCTCCTGTGCAAATACAGCAGTGAAACTATAAGTGTGTGTGTTATTTCAGCCAGGCCACTTCTCAGCTGTAAACTGCAGAGCTCTATCCGTAGCCAGTCCTGAGAAATCCCTGTCCCAGCACATCCTCTGAGGAAGAGGCAGGGCAGGAAGGCTGGGCTGCGAGGAAGTGACTAGCGAGGCCGATGGGTTGTCGCACTGACACAGCTGGTACAAAAGAGCAGGGCTAAGTTTCTCTCCCCCATCCCTGTTTTCCCTGGAAGGAGGTGCTGAGTTGGTTTCCGCATACATTTATTGGCAAAGGAGACAACAAGAATGTTGTCGAGCCCATAAATCTCAGACTCCCCCATGTGTACATTTAGTGAATTCACAGAGGAGTGAAATGTTTGGTAAGAAAGAGTTTCCTGAGGCTTAAGTGGGAGCTTCCTCTGCACAAGGACATCCCCCTCGGTCACCCAAGCACCTGTCCGAGGAAAATGCAGTTGAATGGCAGGAAATTCAGATGGTTTGAACCCAGAGGATAAATGTGCGTGAAACTTGCATTTGGGATCAACTTCCTTGTTTGTGCCGTGTCCCTCCTTGCTGCCTTTTTTTCCCCCTTCTCAGCTAGGGCTTTATAGAAGCCTGRTCCAGCCCTCAGTGTAGGTTCTGAAGTGGTGGGTCTGGGTACCAAACCCAATGATCTCAGCTTGTGTCTGGAMGGCCCCAGCAGGCCGGGCATCGAAACTGCAGCCTCCCACCACCGAGGGCTGCAGCTGTGGCCCGCAGCCCGGCTTGCACAGCGGTTATCGTGCTAAGCCAGAGCTTCAGCCAGCTCAGACTGAGCCTGGCCCTGCCTGAAGAACTGCTCTTAACAGGAAATGGCTGCAGACAGAACAAGAGTCTTCTGTTCTCATCCAGAGTTTGAGTAGAAATAGCTTGTTTGTTCTTTTCCATGTAAACATAGAGCACTTAGGCACTTCTTTCCCTCTTTCGCTGTGTGCTGCATGCCTAATGGAGTCCATCAGTCCATTCCCTTTGGATTCCTCACCCTTTCACAAAGCCAAGATCAGCAGCAAGTCGCAGAGAAAACATATTTTGGAGGTTTCAGCGAGTATTTATTAACTCCTGGATACTCGTGGATTGTGCCTTTTTTTTTGCTACAGGATATACAGCAATTCTTTTTTGTTGTTGTTTTTTTTTCCCCTTCACAGTGTTTTGAAAGATGATTTCATACTAGGCGTTCTCACTTCATCTGTTTTCCTGAATTTAACTCTGGCCTCTAGTCAAATAAGAAAACCACTAACAAAAAGTAAAAACAAATGCAGCTGCAGACCAGCTGGAGTGATGACTTGCAGCACAGTATTAAAAGGATTATATTTAACATTGTTAGCACTTCTGAGAGCTGGCTTGATAGCCGGCACTTATAAAACTTGTATAACCTTTCTCAATTGTGATTTTTTTTCCCTTGTTAAGCATGTTTCCTCTGTGCTAAGTTCTCACAAACCTGATAAAATACTTAACGAAAAKGAGGAATTTGCATGTCTTTCAAGGAAACAGAATATCAAAGAGACCTGGAGCTAAAGAAATCCATAGAGTAATGAAAGGAACGGGTTCATTTATTTGGGAAGTGGAACATCTAGGAGGGGCACTTCTAGTTTCAGTTTTCTTTCTATAGCTGTTAATGCGGTGACTAGAGACCCTGCAATAATGCAGTGGTAAGTTAGGCCCCYAAAGGAACTTGGTGACAGGAGGCTCCTTAATGTAAATTAAGGATGCTGAAGAAGGGCTTACACATTCTCTGCCAGTCATTTTTGGTCTTTCCACCAGGAAGGTAGAAGGTAGAAATTCACCTTCTTGGCATGTCTCTAAATAACTTTATTCTGCAGCCGAAATACAGTAGTTAAGTCATTTGGCTTTTTTGAATAGGACGTAACAGTGTGAATGTTTGGAATGTCTGATTTCTTTTTCTTTTTCTTTTTTTTTTTTATCTGAAATAATGGAATATGTTTCTGTCTTATTTTCAGGATGGCCCAGATTCTGAAAGAAGGAACAGGACAAAGCAGGAAAGTGCTTGGCTCTTCAGGCTATGGTACAGCTTTGACCATAAGTATCCTTTTGAAAACACAGCCCAGCTTCAAGACATGAACTGCTCAGGTTTCTCTCCTTGCCATGTACCTGTTTGCAGCCTTAAGCACCCAGGAGGACAGTCATGTGTGATAGAGGTCAGGTATTGTTTGATGGGTGTAGTGCACAGAACCAAAACGTGAGCTCGTGGGCTTGGAAAACAGACCTTTCCTTTCTTCAAAGTACTTGTCACATTTGCCAGAGAACAAGAGACAAGTCTGTGGGCTGAAGCTCTTTGCTRAACAGTCAGACAGCAGCCAGAGAACTACTTTAGATTCTCTGATCTGTTGTACKAATCTGTTCTCATTTTTGCAGAAGCTCAGAGCATCTGGTTTCCCACTTCATTGTGCATGTCTAATTCTCAGCTTCTTGCTCAGAAGAGCCCTCTGTTTTTGTGATGAAGCTGTTTTTAGAAGATCCCATCAAAGATATGGGAAGTTTTAGACCTAAAAAGCATACCTATGATCCATCACAATCTCTTCAGTATACCCCAAACTTCCTATAGATGTTGAGGCCATGGATGTATATACAGTGCGGTACAACCTATCAGAAACTATTGTTGTGCTATTTAGATAGCCTTGCTTAAGCTCTGTGAGATTTTGTATAACTCTGATTTTTGTTGAGTGTGTGTTTGCTTTTTTTTTCTTTCCTACTTAGCGTACTTTTACTTACTTAGTGCATTTTTAACTTATTATATGTCACTTATATAGCTGAAATTTAGAGAAGTTTCAGTACTTGATGCTCAGTTGTTTCTGGGGAGCAGGGCAGTGCCAGGCTATGGCTGACTGCCTTTTTTAAGAAGGAAGCTGAGACATCCCCTTCCCCTGCCCTTACAAAGCGTATGTGCCTTGTACAAAGAGGAGCAGCTGACAGAGCTGATGTCTTCTCAACTGACAGTAGCTCAACTGCAGTCCCAAGCAGGKGTAGTGAGCAGAGAAAATGCTAAGGGAAAATTATAGCTGAATTCCCCCTTAATTACACTTAATTCCGCAGGCTGCAGGGAGCTGTGGTTGGATCAGTGCGACTCTGAGCCAGAGAGCAGTGGGCAGGTGAGGTGGCTGCATCGCTCCGAGGGCCCTGGGCGGATGGCTTTGCTTTATTCACTGCTTGAGCCCCATGCTCGTGCCATCCTGTTATCTCCAGCTTGGGATCTCAGTGCCATGATCCCAGCTACAAAATAGATGGACATCATTAACATTAGGGAGCATTTCCTGTTGCGTGCTTCTCTTGGCTCCAGGGAGCCCAAAGGTCAGAGATATTGCAACTATATGAACCTTTAAGAAAGGAGGGAGATAGTTCTTTGTGCAGAAAACATGTGAATGAACAGGATCAAGGGAAGAGKGTTCAAAGAGGAGGGAGTTGCTTCCCATTTGTTTACAAATTGTTATTGTTTACAGATACATTTGAAAAATCTGCATTTGGTTTGTATGCAATTACTGAACAGTTTATTCTTAATTGTCTTTTTATTTTAAACCACGGTTTCCAAGCCCAGATCTATTTTCCTTAACTGCTAAAAGTTATTTAAAGCCAATTCTCACTCACAGYGGCCCTCCGTTAACCACGACGCTGCCGAGCTGGTGTGGCCTGGTCGCTCGCTGCCTGACGAGTCCTCAGGTTTATGATGTAAGTAAACTGATTACATACTCGTGGGGATTTTGCCACCTTTGTAGTTGCTTTTTTGGAGGAAGAAGTGGTACAATTTACATATTGTAAGTGCTGGTTTGTCCTAAAGTGGAAAAGACTGAAGATGCTCTTCCCTGAGGCAACAGCTTTTGCTAGTAGAAATCAAAGACATTCTCTTAATTTTCAAGTAATACATAAATAACAGTATTAAAGGCTCTTGAGAAATGACAGGCCTAATCAGTAAGCTGGTTCTTAATGAATCTCTTCAGAGTAGTCTGGTGTCTTTTGGTGCTTTCGGGCAAGATTTTTCCATCCCTGCTGAGGTTGGGTTTAGGTGCTCTTTGGAGCAGGTCCTGACAAGCTTGTACCCATGCCGTAAGGAAATCTGGTAGAACTTCCCTTGACTGTTCCCATGGCAAAATTCAAGATTGCATTTCAGGAGCTGCTAATCAGGTACCTGCTACTTCAGTCGAGCAGGTCAGTGAGGTGCCTTTGCAGCCATATCTTGCAATAGTTAACACTTCATTCATCTAATGCTCTGTCAGCATCATGACAGACATCCCGCCTTGTCCGTAAGGTACTTGCAAATCTACCAGCAGTCTTGCACCAGGCTTCTGTTAATCTTCTCCTACAAGTTAAAAGTCCCACATGCAACTTTGAAATACTTCCCTACATTTGGTTCTGAAATGATTAGAACGCTACTTTTTCCTGAAAGCAAAATTAAAGAAAAAAAAAAAGAAAGTTGAAAACTTTCACTGCCTATTTAGAGCTATTATTAATGCAAGAAACTGTCTTGTTCCCATCTCTGCAGTACCGTTGGAGATCTTAAAATAGAGCTAGCCTGGAAGGCATCCATCAGACCAATTAACTTAATTCTGTGTTGCCCATGTGGTTACTCATGTACTTAGGTTCACATACCTCATCTACTTATGATGAGGACATAACCAGAAAGAACATGCCAGCTTTGGCTTTTACTTACCATCAAGGYTGGACTTTTTTCTCATCATTTCTTCATTGTTAGCTATATGTGTTGTTGTTGCCATTGTATGGCCACATTGTTGCCATATGTGGCAAACACATTTATTGTTTTTAATAATATTTAACATATTTAACAATATTTAACATATTTAACTAACATAACACTAAGCAAATATATTGTTTGGCTGGGTTCATTCTGTGACTTATTTGCTACCACCATCTTTGGGGTGTTAACCTCATCACTACATAATTCATTGCTTGCAGTAAAAATGCTTGCAAGTCTTTCCTTTTGCAAGGTATGTAATATAGACCATTGACGCTGTATTCCCTCCTCTTGTTCCTGCTTTGATATGTTACTGCATTAGGACTAGGAGAGTATTTTGAGGTTCTTTTGAGGGCGACTTTTTAAATGTGACCTAAGGAGGTTACACTTATATGCTGCAAGATGAAGCAGTAAACCCAGTGGATCTCATTCAGACACACGGCTGTGGCACCTACGTACTGTAGGAGAAGAAAATATGAGTACATATCCTTACTAGCGATGTAATTGTGTGTTGCTCTCAGTTATTTTGTTGTTTCTCTAGCTTTTTAACACTTTTGTCAACAGATGCAAAAGGGAGCCTGAAAGTCTGAGAGTCATATAGAGCWGTTAAGAAATCCACATACCACCAAATCCGGAGCGTGAGGCCCTCCTCTAAACTTGAACCCACAGGGTGAGCTGGGGCACACGGAGGGCTCTGAGTCAGCACACAGGGCTGAGGTACAGGGGGTTATTTTTGCTCTTGAGAAGTTTTCACTTCTTTCTTGCTGAGGTTTCCCACTGCTTTAACGCCGTGCCCCTGGGAGCACTGCTGAGCATTTCTGAAGATGACACGCAAACAGAAACCGAGTTGGAACTGAGCAGTGTGACAGGCTGCTGCAGCCACAGGGTTTATAGTGGCTGTTGAAAAACATTACTCCTGCTTTCTTTCCTGGAACTGCCTTTGCTACATGAGCATTTGGCAGAGCTTTCTAATTTATCCTGATTTGATGTAGGTAATCTTTTTTTCCCTCCTTTTGACACGTGCTTTGAAAACTTAGAGCAATTCTGCCTCCCACCAACATTTTTTCCCATTTGGAAAAATCGTATGGTCATCAGCTCTTCTCCCTGATGAAGCACCTTGTTTTGGTATGGCTTTTTTTTGGTTTTGTTGTTCACAGTTAGTTTGAGTTTCTCTACTCTCCTTTCCTTCCCATAAGAAGGAAATTTCTTTTTGCTGTCCACATAAGCTTAGAGGACATAACTCTCAACATGGATAAGAAAGCTGTTCCATAATGCCCTCTCCCTGTTTCCTTATTTGCTTTAGCTTTATAGAAGACACTGCACTTTCCTTGATGAACTTATACTTGAGAACCAGAGAAATATAAAGCAGAGCACTAGCTCTAAGTCATAATACATTCTTGCATGYGTGCTCCTACTTAAAGCTTTGACTTTGGGGACACAAGTCCTTCTGATACAGGTTTTGTCACACATGGTGTCTATGCTGCCTTAAGGACTAACAGTACCASTTCCATTGGTGACCACCACTACAGTTTCATATGGGTGGTCTACTTTGTATGTGCTTCCTGCATCATCTTGAGAGGAGATAAAGACTGGCTTTAGTCACAAGTTCTTAGAACTGTCAGAATTTATTTACATTTTCAGCATGAGCTCTTAGGAACGTGGCATCTCTACCAATTTTTACCCTGAATTTGACAGACTGCTGTGAAGGCCAACGGGGTGAATGGGCAACGGTGAGCATGTTAAAACAGTTCAGTCTGGGGCAGTGGTAGCTTTGGGGTAATACCTACATCCTTCTAGTTTGTAAGCTTAAATAGTGAGATTCAGACCTGTGCTTCTGAAATGAAGCAGTTGCCCCTACAGAATGGTAGGAGATTGTGGAGGACAGTTTAGGGTTATTTTAGGGTTATTTTTAGGAAAAAAAACATAAAGTCTGTAGGGATCTGCTTGGATACATTCCCTGATGGCCTTGAAAGGATTGTTGCTGCTGCATGAAGCCCAGAAGGTTTATCCAAGCATCCCCTTTGCTTGTAAGTGTGGAGTGTCGTCCATATACTACGTAGGATGGTTGATACATGTGCTCAGGGGAATACATGCAATGAGCTGCCTGCTGCTTACTGTGTTACTCAGAAGTGAAATAAGCAGGAGGAGCTTGGCTCAAACAAGGCTGTGTTTGAGAGAAAGGTTGCTGTTTTCTCTGGAGCCGATCCCATTTATGGACAGGTAAGAATAGCCTAGGCAAAACAGAGAAGACTGAGTTAGGAATTGCCACGTGGTTTCTGACCTGTGGCCCTCTCGTATCCGTATCGTGCCGGCCTCCGCTCCTCAGCCTTCCGGGGAAACCTGAACGCGCTGCTTGCTCCCACCAGCAGCTCCCAGGTAGGTYCCTGCTGCGAGGACTTGCTCTGGAAGGGCAAGGCAGAGCTGGGAGGTGCCTCTGGAGYGGCGGCAGCAGCTCCACGTGGTGCCCTGGTGCCGCCAGCAAGTAAACACCCCTCGGGGCTGCACACAAAATCCTCAAGCAGGCATTTGCCTGTAGAAGGCTTGCCTTCATTGATGGCTTAGCAGTGAGCCTAGGAAATACGCCAGGCAATTCTCAATTTAGCACSAGCTAAACAGAATGAGCAGTTATTAAGAAAAAGGAGGAGGAGGCCTTGATTGCAAATAATTGAGACCTAATGAGTTCTTACCAGTTTGCATGACTTATTTCTGAACGTCTGTCTAATTAGTGACAGATTCAACTTGATTTTACCTGGAATGATAAAATGATAAATGACCGTCTCAAGTATCTTTTCCTCTACTGTCTTTTAATCTGTCACGTGAAAAGCAGTGTATCCCCCCCATCCCTTGTGTACTTCCATTAAGTGTCCAGTGGCGTTAGCTTCCGAGTTGCCGGTCTCATAATCTAAGTTCTTAGATTCAAGTTCTTGTTGCTTCTGTATTGACAGGCAGGTAAATCTTTCTGTTCAGTTATTTTTGACAAATACCAAATGCTGTGCACTGTGCTCAGATTTCTTTTTCTTTTTTTTTTCTCTTTTCMAGAATCAAGAACAACTTAGAGAAGAGGATTCTGATTTTATTCTGAATGATGGTGACCTCACCGTGACATACGGTGATACCACAATAACTGCTAATGGTTCTTCTGGCCCCCATACAGCTACCACCAGCCTTGATGGCAGGAGAACAAAAAGTAGCTCAGAGGAAGCTCTGGAGCGAGATTTGGGAGCAGCTGATCAGGAAGTCGCGAGCAGGGGCACCCGGCTAGTGTTTCCTCTGGAGGACAACGCGTGACTCCGGACYCAGCAAACCCAGCTCTTGCTCTGCGGATGGATCAAGGAAGACTGCAGGCCACTGTGTCACTTGAGGTGGGGGTGTTTATTTGAACAACACGTCTAAGTGCTTTTACTGTGGTCTGAAGACGTCAAACTTGACCTGTTTTCTTCACTCGAGATGCTGACAGTGGGGTTTTCTAAATGTCTTGAAAAGAGACAAATTTGGAAAGCGGTCATTCCCTTCTCGCAAACCACYTACTGAATCGGAGTACACCTCGCAAGCGGCAAGCGTGCTGTGCAGCTGCAGCAGCCCTCTCAGGGGAGAGGTATGTGAAAACATTGCCACAGAACTGAGCTGGCCTTGGGTTAGCTTGGGAATGCGGGAGAGGAAATATAAACAGGATGATTGCTATGAGTTAAAAGGGATATTTGTGCATTATCTGAGCATGGAGAGATGCACTCTTAACTTCTCCAGTGAGCTTCAGGAACCTAGACATTCAGTGGGACACCGTGCTTTAGGACAACAGAGGCGTGAATGCAACACCGTGGGGAACCTGTTACTGCAAGCTGTGCTTCATGTATTTCAGGAGGTAAAAAAGGGAACATAGATTTCTTCACTGGCCRTGTGTTCAAATAGGAGGGCCATGAGAGCTGTTTGTCCCTGTAGCTTTGGACAATGTGACTATTGCTATTAGCCTAACTGCCAAGGCCTCCAAAGAAAAGCATCCAACTTCATGTGGCCCGAGGCTTGCCTGACCTGAGACACGCCTGCAGCCAGGCTGTCTCGGGTAGAAATAATGAGGTGAAGCTTTCTCTCCCCTAAGGCTGTTATAATCACATGGAGACAGTTGGAAACCTGTCTTGGGCTTGGGAAAATTGGGAAAACAGCTGATGATAATTATTAAAAAAAAAAAAATAAAGAGCAGCAGTATTAACTTGCATGAGACCATGAGGTTTCATATTGCTCAGAAGAATCCCTAGGCTCTGCTTGCAGTTTTTGCGTGGTAAGCGGAAAACATGTAATTAAAGGGACAAACAAACACTAGTGGCTTTACCATTTGTGGTTCTTCTGCAAGAAAAGTGTTTATTCTTGTCCTCTGTTGCAGAGTAGATGTGAGACTTCAGTGGGGCATTGTACAAGAATAYTTATGCTGCAGAAATGGCAAACTGTACTCTCACCTGAAATGTGAAAAAGGGAAAAATCCTTGCCTAGTATTTAGCCCACTTACATGTAGGCTAGCTTTAACTTATTGCTAAATGCTTTCTATTTTCCAGATCAGGAGATATCATCGTCTTTGTCAATAGCTGAAAACTGTGGCGCTTTGAATAGCAGCTCAGCTATTTAAAGCATGCTAGAATGTGATTTCATTCTCATGTCTCAGAAGATTTTTTAACACTTTTGTGGCCCACTAATGTGATGTAATACCAGCTTGTCGAAAAGTGCGTTTTTCATTTCAGTTGTTCCTCTCATAAAATCGTGTGCGAGTAAATAGCCACTCTGTTTTTCCCTATTAAATGTAATAATGAGATAAATTCAGTACCACAACTTACTGCTGCAGAGAAACATTGCTGTCATGTYGTCTAGTTTGCTTTCTTTCAAATGTATTTTCCAAGGACAGTGATCTACCTCCATGTCTGTCCCTCCAAGGTAACCTTTTAAAGGATCTGTAACAACTGTCTAACATAATATAAAGAGACACCTAGAGATTGGAAGTGCTTTTTTTTTTATTTTATTTTTGATATGGAAAATTGGGAAGAGCAACATGGTTTGAGCTCTGTTCTTCAAGGGTGAAGAGTAACAAGCACTCACAAAAACCTCAGGGCTGAACAACTCCTTTTCTCTTCTCCTATGGTTCCAAGAAGGGCAAATGAGGCACGCTCTTAACTGCTGGCAGTTGTTAAAAGAGCTTCCTCCTAAATTGTGAAAACCACTGCATTGGTTTGGGGCAGTGCTGACCCCTTGGACCCCGTTGATGTGCACGCCGAGTGAGGACTTGGGACATGCACATGCAAGTTATTAGCTGAGTCATATGAACCACCTTTTTTGCTGTGTTTTGAGACAGTGGAGTTTATCCAAGATGAGTCATAAAGCATTGAGGGAAACCTTCCCATGCAGCTTGAGGATGAGACTTACCCAGCCGCCCTGGCAGCGAAACAGGAGCCATCTGCACGGCAAGAGATCTGTCTGTTCCTTGAAAGAAAGATCACGTATGTGGTCTGGAAGCAGAACCTGTCTCATTAGCTTCTGCAGGAAGACTAAGCCCTTCTGGTAGCATCATAACCCATCTCAGCACAGATGCTTCTCCATGTGTGTTCCTAAGCCACGAGCAGAGCTATGGGATTGAATGGAGCTCCCCAGTAAGCCCAGAACAGGGTTGTGAAAGAGCAACTAAGGTTGGTGTCAGCACTGGGGAGAGGTGAGGAAGGTAATATTCTAACTTCATGTTCAAAAATTACTTGCAAGGCTTTTCCAGCAATCTGAGGAGAGGCCCAYAAACGCACACATCACTTTCATATTTTAAACCAATGAATTTCATTCATTGGTTTTTAATCTACTTTCATTATAAATCTTCCAAAATTGGACTTCAAGCTAAAGGTAAACATTAGTCTTCTTCCTAATGACAGTGATCCTTATGCAAAATTCCTGAGAGACTACTGAAAAAAGGAATAAAAAAAATCCTATACTTACTTTACTGTATAAATTCACTGACTAGTGCTCTTTGATAGATTTTTTTTTGCATATATCATTTTCAAAAATTGATTTAATACTTTTAATTCCTTTACAGTTAGATCCTGTGGTAATGAACTTGACCTAACCACATAGCAGACATATTTTTTCTAACTCAGAGTTTTTGCAATAAAAACACAGCTCAAATTTGYAATGAGCAGCAAAGAAATCAATAAATATTAGTATCCCTTTTCAAATGAAAGAGTTGAAAGATGAGGGTCTTAGCTGAGAAGTTATTGCTAAACTAGGGTTTTTTTCCAGCTTATATGSCTGTCCCCTGTATTTGAGACTGAGGGGCTTGTAGGTTTTTTGCTTACTACTTCACGAGCTTGCTGCTGAAAACTTGGCCAAGAAGTGTGTTTGTTTAATGACGAGCAATCCTGTGTCTGGAGATTGGCCAAGCCAAGTTTGAGTGCTTTCACGGGGATCCCGTGGGATTGCGGTGTCCTGTGTGAGCGCTGCTCGGGCTGCAGCGCGAGCTCCAAACCCCCCATCTCAAGCACAGAGTCACAGGATCCCTAAGGTTGGAAGGGACCTTCAGAAGCTCCTTGGAAAGCAGGAGCACGGAGCAGCGTGCCAGTGCGGCGCCCGTCGGGGCTATGGATACCGGACCATGGTGGAAGTGGGCAGCAGCAGAGGCCRTCTTCTCTGGAAAAGCAGCAAGAGCAGAATGTAAAAGACTTAATACTTGGTGTCCTCTCAAACACAGGGGCTTYTTGGCTCATGAAAGAGCCAACAATAATATTTCTGAATCTGAGGCAATTCCCTCTTGGAAAGAGATTGTAGAAATCTAAATGGGGGGAAAAAATCTAAACTTTTTTTGGCTGATCTGCTGAGGAGCTGGTTGGRGGCAAGCACACAGTAATGGTTCAAATGATAGCTAGTACTGAAATGGTACCTGCTGCTTCTTGGGCACAGGGCCGGGGGAAGGCCTCGTGGTGGGGAGCTGCCCAGCGACCTTAAGGCAGAGCAGGAGCCGTCTATCCTGTGGTTTATGGTAGCTGCCGTAATCGGGAGGGCTGTTTGTGCACAGGAGCTGCCAGCTTGCTCTTTCTGTAGAATTTTAACATCATTTGAACGGCATCAGTCTCTTCAGGCGGAGAAATTTCTTTAATTCTGCAAGATGAAATACTATTTTCCCTCATATGCCTTTCAAAGTAAGGTTCAGTGTTTCTTTTAGCTGTTTGAAGCAGTCCACAGGAATAACCCATTCGACCCCTTTCTTGGCAGACAGGGTCCCTGCATTCGCACGAGTGTGGGAAAGGAATTTGAGTACTCTTGAGTTTTAACTTTGTGTGCTTTTCTTGGAGATGGGGGCTAGGGGAGACCCTCGCAGGGATGGCTGGAGCACTCATGGATGCATCAGCAGGGCAAAATCCTCCCCAAAACACTAAATTAAGACACTGAAACTTATATCAGCAAGGGAGGCCCAGCCTTCCCCAGGAGGCCAGGAACACCCAGCAGGGAAGACCCAGGCTGGCTTTGTGCAGGCTTGGCCGCAACTGCGAGTCGTAGAACATAAGAGCTGATCAGTAGCATAAAGCTGATACTCCTGAAACAAAAACCATGTAGTGTTTGTTTTGGTTTTGTTCTGTATTCTTCAAATGTCCCTGTGTGGAAAAATGCTGCTGTTGTAAGAAGGAGCTCATGCAAAGAGTATTCACTTGGAGGGGGTGTCTTTAAAGTCTGGGGAGGAGAGTTTCTCACTGTGCAGAAATCAGAGATGCCTCCTGGCCTGGCTATTCTGGGAGGGCCCTTCTGCAAAATAAWGTTCCATCAGAAGTACACCTGCAAAGTGAGAGAGAAGCAAAATCTGGAGGAAATAGTGAATTACAAAGTGAGGAAATAGTTTAAACAGGCAGAAACAGCACTGAGGAAACAGCACTGTAAACAATTATGCTACTCCTAGTCTTGCAGTATTGAACTCTGAGAAGTTCTGTCAACTGCTGCACACCTTTTCCTAAAATATGGGTAATGGAATAAAGTAGTGAGAACTTCCCTCATCCTGATTTTGTGACAAAGTAGAAGGTTTTTAACACGGAAAAATAGTTCAGAGCCTGGAAAGTGACTTTGAACTGTTTCGTTTTCTGAGTAATCACACTCTACTAGTACACTGTTTTGAATCAATRAAAGGTGTTCATCTATTTGAATTTGATTCTGTGGTAACAGTAGCCTGGCAAGTACTGAAATGATGCACACCAATGTGATGTAAAGGTAGGGCAATCATATTTGAATCTGTTGCACAGACAGGAAATTCCATATGCCAGTTTGCTTTGATTTATGGAAGCTTTTGCTGCAGACCTTGGTTGTGATGGGCAAAGCAAATAGGTGCTGGAATCAGTTCAGACTTTTCAGAAAACAAAATCACCTTCCCCTTTGGATGCTTTATCCAATACACTATTATTTTATGCTACTTTCTTGATCGTGATCTATTATGCACTGCTAAACATGGACTCAGAGGCTTCCAAAATAGCCCTGGGTTTGAGGTTTTGTCTTTAGACAGAAGCTGAAGAGGGAATGTGAAATTAGAGCATGGGATTCCTTACGGGGGAGCTGCCCCTCCTAATGCTTTCTGCTAGAGTGAAGGATTTTGTGTCGTGCCCACGGTGTCCCCATGGGGACCCTGTGGCACCCACAGGAGGGAGCGGAGATGCCTYCCTCCAGAAGAGCTGCTGCCTCTCCCAGGCACGGGACAGCGGGAAGGCCTCACACGGAGGGGAGGAGCAGGCCTCATTCGGGAAGTTGCACAGGTAACTCCAGAGCACAAGGTGCATTAGCTGTAATCATTGTGAGATGCCAGGCCTGGCACGGGAGTCATTTAAGGTGCGAGTTGGGGTCTGGTTTTAGTTTGGCCTCTCAGAAGTGCCGAAAGGGACGTCACCTCCGTCACCTCCGATGGGCTTCAGCGGAGCAGGGAGGGCTGAGCCGGCCGCAGGACGACCCGGGCTCGCGTTGCTCCCCGCTGTTCCAGGAAGGGCTCCGTGTGTCGCACGCGCAGCGGCAGGATGCGGYGCTCCTGCTCGTGGCGCCCACCGCGTGCACCAAGGTCTGGGCAGCATCACCCTGCCGTTCGCGAGCCTCCTGCCTCTGCTGTGCTTGCGAGAGGGACCAGCAGGGCCAGGGGAGGCACGTGAGGTGACCTTAAAACAAAGGTCACCGTGAAACCAAATACATGAGGTGGCCGGAGCATGGGGAGCTCCCCAGAATAAGGCAGCTATGGTAGCTGTACTTTCCGCAACTCCAGCTTCACAGAATGGCTGAGGTTGGAAGGGACCTCTAGAGATCATCCAGTCCAACCCCCTGCTCCAGCAGGGACACCCAGAGCACGGGGCACAGGGCGGCATCCAGGTGGGTTTGGAGACCTCCAGAGAAGGAGACTCCACAGCCTCCCTGGGCAGCCTGTGCCAGGGCCCTGTCACCCTCACAGGAAAGAAGTTCCTCCTCACCTGGAGCTGGAACTGCCTGTRTTTCAACTTGTACCCATTGCCCCTTGTCCTGGGGGTCCAGTGGCCACCACTGTAGGATGAGTTCAGGCTGGGCTGGGGCAAGACCCTTCTTGGGGAGGGCTGCACTGCAGCAAGTCTCACCGTCCCAGGTGCAGCACCTACCCCTCGCACTGCTGCCTTCCTCCTGCCCCCTGCCCRGTAGGAACTGCAGCCAGGGGGACCGGAGCAGGAGGGCCTGGTGGGAGGAGTGTCCTCGTCCCGGGGCCGCTGCGGAGCAGGCGCCTTCCCCGCTGCCACCCCGCTCCAACAGGGGCGGTAGCGCCGCCGCCTCGAGGCCCCCTCATTGCTCTTGGGCCAGGAGCGCGGCCGTGAAGTTCAGGTGGCCTGAACCGCTAGCTCAGAAGCTCTGTGTTTTGG